AAAAAAAAAAAAAAAGTTTTAACCACTGTGTCACACAAATATGCCAGAAGGATTCAACCAAAGAGCTGCCTATTTGTCACCTCTGATATACTCAAACATATTGATGTTCAAGTACAGTGACATCGAGCCAGGCCTTGAAGACTAAGAGAGGTGATAGAGCCTATCCAAGGTCATGCAGATATTAGTGTCACAACCAGAACTACCACCCCAATCTCCATACATATTCATTCTTGTTTGGACTATGGCAGTTGAATTGAGAAATTATAAAATCCTGTTTTCTGGTGTTTTGAATCACAGGCTTATCACAGGAAGTCCCTCACAGGAGGTTATTTCCTCTGATGGACTGCTCTTTTTCAAAGTAACAACGTGTGATTACTCACCCTGAAACTTGGCGGTGGCCAGCTCTTTTTAGGCATAATGCAGAACCTGCCGACACTGAAGCCCACATTTTTGCAGATGAATCTGGTTATCTTTATTCCCCCAATGAGGCAATAACCACAGTCCAACACTTGCGGCACTGCAGCCACAGGAAAGATGCATAAGAGAAAGAATATGTCAGCTGGAAGAGGCCCTGCTGTTACTGTTCTCCAGAGCCAGAGCTCAGAGCAGCAGTGGAAGGATCGGGGGATCTGGGGACCCCTGCTCAGCACCCCAAATAGAGAGGGTGAACGCGGACATGCTCTGACCCCTGTACTAACTTGAGCTCAGCCCAGATTGTTGCCAGGCTGTGCAGTAACAGTACCGTGGGACTCTATCACTCCTGACTAGAGCAGCAGGAGTCAGCACTCACTGTGGACTCATGCCTCATCCGGGCTCACCTAGCATGGCCCTAAGGGTTGTGAGTAGAAGTATGGAGTCAGAGTCCCAACTTCCAGCCTATGCTTTTCTGAAAAAGTTCAAAACCGAAGGAGCCTAGCCAAAGCCAGCTTTCCAAAGGAAAGGAAGCCCACTCCTCCAGCCACAGAGGCAATACTGGCTGAGGGCTTCTCAGGGTACCCAGGCCTGCCTTTCTTGTCTCAGTGTGGCACAGGTCCACTCATGGGAGGTTCTCAAACAAGCAAAACTCATACTGAGATTAATTGGGCTGCTGGCTTTCTCCCTTGCTATGTGTCAAAGTCAGCTTCCACTGGGAAAACTCCACAGCAAGAACAATCAGGGCCTGATGGTATGGAAGACTATGTGGAAGCTGCCAGCAGGTTCCTTTTCAGGATCTAGAAGCCCCTATCCAAAAGGATCAAGCTGTGTGCTGTTACAAGGGGATACAGAGTAGCAGGCAGCCCTTACAGGGACTCTTCAAAGGCTAACTGAGAATGAACACTCACACGTCAGCACTGGAGGTGGCCTCCGGGCCCGCAGAGGAATCAGGAGAGCGTCGGCTGACTGGGTTTCTACTAAAATAAAATCATCAAAATCCCCAAGGCAGTCAGGAAAGAACTGGATAGTGTACTGGCAGGTCATTCCAGGAGCCACCATTCCACCTTTTCCTGGGAACATCCCTGTTCATGACAAAAGAAACAAGTGAGGATCTGGAGATTAGCCAGCCAGCTACCATAGCTTGGCCTCAACTATTACACACAGTAACCAGAAGGACACGGGTAGACCCACCACACAGGGGATGACTCTATGAGTAAATGCTTCTGGACCAAGGGCATGCCAAAGGTAGAACCACCAGGATGTGCTAGGGGAACAGGCTGCAAGGGCAGGGATCTCGATAGAAATGTCAGGGCTGGAATGTTTAGGTGGGGCCATACGGCTTAGCACTTATTTTGTGGGCAAAAGAGAGCCATTTGAGATTTCTGATCAAGGCTGGCACAAATAGAATTGTTCTTGAGAAAACACCCATGTGGCATTACAGCAGGAAGTCTGGCTGGGAGGCTACTTCAATGGTTTAAGTGAGAAGTGAGGAAGGCCTGACTGAGGGCAGTTACAATGTGAAGGGTGAAGAGAGACCCACACAGAAGCAGAGCTGGCAGAACCAGTGCCTGGATGGAGGTGATCAGGAGAAAGGAGCAGTCAAGACTGAGGCTCACAGCTCAGTGGTCAAGAAGGGTGCCCAGGCCTCACTCACCAGGAGGATAACCAGGCTGGCTGCTAGGTGAGTGTGAAGGAACCCCCAGTGGCTGCCTAGGGAAACATGGGCCTGAGCTCAGGACATGGATGTGGGAGTCATCTAAGGGCCAACTGGGAGGGAGCCCAACTATTATATAGATAGATAGATAGATAGATAGTTATTTGGGTAAAAGTTTACAGAGCAAATTCACTTTCCATACAGCATTTCACATACACTGTCTCATGACATTGACTACAATTTGCCCCAATGCAACAGCTCCCCTCCCACTTCCTTTCCATAGTTACCTCTTCCCTGTGTCCTTCCCTCCATGCACTCCTGCCTCCTGAGCTGTCTCCTTGTGTATACACAGCCCTTCTTTCTCCCATGATTGTTCTCTCCAAGGAGTGTATCTACCCACTGTAAATGTTCATCTCATATGCCTGTCTTTTGTTTGGCTGGAACCCAAAAGAGTAGGTTTAATTCCAGACCTGAAGGGCAACTAGGGGCCATAGTCTCAGTGGCTCCATCAGGCTCTATCAGACCGGAAAACCTAGTCCCTTTTTTTTTCCCCCTAAATGATTTTGAGTTTTGTTCCACACTGTTCTATCCAGGATCTCCTACATAGATTCCCCTCTGAGTGGTTGACAGTAGTAGACAGGCACCATCTATTCTTCTGGTCTCATAGTTGTATAGACTGAGGATCACATGCTGTACCAGTTGCTTGGACTAATTGTTTCCATGAATCTTTGGTTTTCTTCATTCTTCTTTGCTCTGGATGAGGAGAGACCCATCGTTGCATCTAGATGGCTGCTTGTAAGCTGTTCAGATCCCAGTCGCTACTTGCCAAAGTAGGAGGTGGAACAATGTTATGTGTAGCATGTTATGCCAAATGAGCTCCATGTCCCCTGCAACTATAGCCCCAAGCCCACAGGTCCAACTACTTGCTCCCTTTGGGTAGCTGGCTGTGGCCAAGAAGTGACTACAACCTTGTCCCTTGTCAGCTCTGCTATACACCTCGGAATTCTTTTTCTTTTCTTTTTTTTTTTTTTTCATTGTGATTTGGGTGAAAATTTACAGAGCAAATTCACTTTCCATACAACAGTTCACATACATTTGTCTCATGACATTGACCACAATTCACCACAATGCAACAGCTCCCCTCCCACTTCTTCCCAACAGTCAGCTCTTCCCTGTGTCCATCCCTCCATGCACCCCTGCCCCCTAAGCTGTCTCCCTGTGCATAAACAGCCCTTCTTTCTCCCATAACTGTTCTCTCCAAGGAAATGTATTTACCTAGGTTAAATGTTCAACTCCTATGCCTGTTTTTTGCTTGGCTGGAAGCCACATACACCTGGGAGTTCTTATAGAACATAGCAACACATTTGTAGAAACATTGTCTGCTAACCCTACACATGGTTTTGGGCACACTCCCCCTGCATAGACATACCTAATAGTTCAGCCCCAACAAATAATTTTGATGCAGTCTAGACAACTGCTACTCTGAACTTACCCAAGCCCAGAGCAAAGTAAGGAGTAGAAGGTGGGAGGACTCGCAGGTAGCGGCTGGTTGCAGTGGTGTTCTGCAGAGCAATTACCATCTGTTCAAAGGTAAAGGTGGTCTCTTTTAGACAGAAACATGGATGAAATGAAATGGTATCTGGGAATTGCTTTAAATAATATAGGAAGGGTTTGAAAAGGACAAGGACATAAATGAAATGAGCTTGACCATAAGTTGATAACTATTGAAGCTGGGTGATGGGCACGTGGGGATTCATTATGTTGCTCTGTCTACCCTTGCTGCGTTTGAAAGTTTCCATAGTAGACAGAATAAGATATGAGGTGAAAATGAAGATGGGAACAGATCTGACCTATTCTTTGTTCTATTGTTTAAAAGAATAGCTATTATTTATTGAGCTCTGGTAGCATAGTGCCTAAGGCATTTGACTGCCAACCAGAAGGCTGGTGGTTCAAACCCATCAGCTATTCCTCAGAAGGAAGATTCTACTTCCATAGAAATACCGCCTCAGAAACCCAAGGAGGGGTCACTATGAGTTGCAATCAACTTGATGGCAGTGAGTTTGTTTTTTTTCCTTATATAAAGAAACTGAAGTTCAGATAAGCCCCTTAGCTGCCTTAGCTGGTAAGCAACAGTATTGAAATTTGAGCCTAGAACATTTGGCTCCACAGTTTTGCCCTCCCCACCACTCAGCCTCTTCTATATGCCTATCTTCTCCTCCGTAAATCCTATTGGGCCATTTATTCCCATAGACTCAGTCAAGAGTGTTACTGGGCTTCTCTCCATCATTCAATCCAGTCAGCCCCCTATTAAGTCCCACCTTTTCTTCTCTCTTCCTCACATTGGGAGATCCCTAAAGGTAAGGCTTAGGACTCACACATCACTGAACTCCCAACAGTACCCAGCAAAGAAGAGGAGCTCATTCATTATGAGTTGGCTCACAGTTGCTCTATATACAACAGAAGGAAACTGCCTGGTCCAGTGCCATCGGCACAATACATATACTCTTTTTTTTTTTTTGCTTGTTGGTTTGTTCTCTGTATTCCCATCCAGATTGTAAACTCTGAGAGCTGATGCCATATCTGTTTTGCTCATCATTTCATTTCCAGGATTTATAATAGAATTTGGCACACAATAGTCACTACATCAATACTTGTTGAAAATAATAACAAGGTGTACTGAATACTTATTATGAACAAGATACTCCGCTACATGCTTCACAAGCATTATTTTTCTTTTCTTCAATTTTTATTGTGATTTGGGTGAAAGTTTAGAGAGCAAATTCATTTTCCATACAGCAGTTCATATACATATTGTTTCATGACATTGACTGCAATTCCCTACAATATAACAGCTCTCTTCCCACTTCTTCCCTATAGTTACCTCTTCCCTGTGTCCTTATTTCCTATGCATTCCTGCCCCCTGAGATACCTCCCTGTGCAAATGCTGCCCTTCAGTTCTCCCATGATTAATTATAGAGTGTAAGAGTGTATCTGTTGTTGTTATGTGCCGTCGAGTCGGACCGACTCATAGCAACCCCTCCTTGGGTTTCCAAGGCAGTATCACTATGGAAGTAGATTGCCCCATCTTCCTTCCGAGGAGTGGCTGGTGGGTTTGAACTGCCAGCCTTCTGGTTAGCAGTCAAGTGACTTAGGCACTATGCTACCAGAGCTCCTAAGAGTATGTTGTTGTTGTTTGCCCTACCTTATCTAAATGTTTACCCTATATGCTGGTCTATTGTTTGGCTGGAAGCCACAGGAGTGAGTTCAATTCCAGACCTGAAGGGTAACTAGAAACCATAGTCTCGGGGGTATCACCAGGCTCTATCTATCTATCTATCTATCAGTAAACCTGGTCTTTTTTTTTTTTTTTTTTACAATTTTGAGTTTTCTTCCACATTGTGTCCCACTCTATACAGGATCTCTTGCACTGATCCTTTTCCAAATGTTGCCAAGCATTATTATCTCATTTAATCCCCTACCTTCATTTATGTATCTTTTGCTTTAATTTTGTGGATTATTATAGTGGATAAAATGTATAAAGTAGAACATTACAAAAGCCATGTTTCCATCACCCAGCTTAAGAAATAAAACATGACTAATATAGTTGAAGCCCTACCCCAGCTCCCACCAGATAACTTCTGTGTAAATTTGAGGTGTGTCTTTATATTTTTATTCATAAAATGGACTAAATCAACATTTAAGTCCATTTTATTTTGCCCAGCACAACTTATTGCACCAATCCATCTGTGAAATAGACCCAAATGCACAGACACTATATTAGGGTTTTAATGTTCATTTCATCTCAATGACAATGAGCATGTGTTCATATATTTATTACCATCTGGGTTTCCTATTCTGTGAGTTGCCTGTTCATTACCTTTTACCATTTTTCTATGGTACAGTTTGCTTTCTTCCTATTAATTTTTAGGAAAATCACCTGTAGCAGTTTTAAAGTAGGTCACCAAGTTCTTTGACACTACTTCCATTGAGAGGTGGGGTCTATGTCCCTTCCCCTGGACTTCAGCCCTGTCTTAGTAACTTGCTTGTAACCTAGAGAGTTCAGAGGAATTAATGCTGTGTAACTTCCAAAGTAGTCATAAAAAACAATGCAACCTCCATATTGCTTGCCAGGATACTCACTTTGAAGCTCTGAGCTACCATCTAGAAATGTGATTACCCTGAGAACACCGAGCTGTAAAGAAGCTTAGGCCACACAGAGAAGCAAGGTGTAGGCGGTCCAGTATACAGTCTCAGCTATGCCTGTATCAACTGCTATGTGAGTAAAAGTGCCTCAGATAATTTCAGCTCTCAGATGTCAAGTCACCCCTAGGCACTGAGCCTTCAAACACTGTGGAACTAGCCATTCCCACTGACCCACAGGATCTATAAGCATGATAAAATTGTTGCTTTAAGACATTAAGTTTCACGGAAATTTGCTTTGTAGCAAGAATAACTGAAAATCCTTTTACCATTAGCCTAGGGATTTCCTTCATCTCTTTCGTGTGTTGGATCTCTTGTTTCCCACATCTCATGCATTCTTTTTTGGTTTACTCACTTCTATTGAGGACACTTTTCTCCAGTAGCTTCCTGAGAAAGGTGTGTGTGATAGTTGGAGCTGTGTGTCAACTCGACTGGACCAAAATTCTGTGTGGTTTAAGCAATTGCGATGTGGGTTGTTCCAATGATGGGATTAGATGGACACATTTTGAGCAGCCAATCCATTGAAAGGGAGTTTCCCTATGGGTGTGGCCTGCTTCCAGTATATTTATGGACATTCTGGGAAAAGAGACATTCTTCTGTGGATCGGGATTCTGTTGTGCTGCCTACAACTGTCCATGAGTGAATAATCCACCATTCGGCCTGGAGATCTTGGATTCATCATTCATTGAAGCCAATAGCCTGTATACTGCCTGCCAACCTTGAGCTCGTCAGCCCCTGCAGGAGTGTGAGTCAGGAAAAGCCTCCAGCTTGACGTCTGATCCAAGAACTTGAGAGCGTCTCTAAGTGTGTGAGCCATTTTCCAAAGATAAATTAATATCTCTCTCTCTAACCTTTACTTGTTTTGCTTCTCTAGAGAACCCAGTCTAACACATTTGGTACTGGGAGTGATTCTAGAGAGACAAAATCATAAGGATGGGCTTCCTAAGTTGGTTCTCCAATTTGATTAATCATAAAGGCATTGGTGAGCCTGCCTCCATTAGTAAAAAAGGCCCTGCTAATCCGTGGTGTGAGGTGGCAACATTAGTATGCAAAATAACACCACCAATAGATCAAGTACTTTTGAGAAGTGAGGCTCTGGGTGCTCGCATATTTCATACTTTTCTGCAATTTTGTCAGCACGAGGAGTATAAGAAAGCTGATTGGTTGGTCCTATTAAACTAGACAAAGTAATGAAAGAGGGAGATGAGCTCAGGGCTGCTGAGTCACAGCTTAAGTGCTTCATAAAAGAACTCAATGTTTCCAGTTGTGCCCTGAAAGAAAGCTTTATTTCTTCTAGTAACAGAGCTAATATTGCTAAAAACCAAACCAAAATCTTATTGTAAGGATGGCTCAATTACAACACCAATTAAATTACCAACCCAGAATGGTGTCTTTAAAGTGAGGGCATTGATTGGGGAAAAAAATGGGATCCTAAAACCTGGAATGGGGACATATGGGCAGATAGTCAAGAAGATGAGGATATAGAACCTCTAATTTCTGTTGAATCCCTCCCATCTGAAGGGATTACTATAAAACCATTATCCCTTCCACCTCCATTTGATGGGATTAACCCAACTGTTCCTGCTGGGTCATTGCCTGAGGCAGAGGTCATGAAAGACATGGCTGAATATTCCCAGGAACTGCCCCAACCACCCACTGTTGTTGCTAGACCTATAACTAAAGTTAAGTCCAAGTGAGCCCCAAAAGGTGAAATATAAAGCATGACTGAGGAGGTGGTATGCTGCACCTGAAAAGACCTACTTGATTTTGCTAACATGTACAGGCAGAAACCTGGAGACTATGTATGGGAATGGCTACTGAGGGTGTGGGATAATGCTGCAAGGAGTGTAAGATTGGATCAGTCTGAGTTTATTGATTTAGGCCCCCTAAATACAGATTCTTCATTCAATGTTTCAGCTCAAGAGATTAGGAAAAGATCTAATAGTTTATTTGTCTTACTGAAGCATGGATTATGTGATGGCCTACCTTAAGTCAAGTTGAAGTACCAGATCTGCCTTGGTATAATGTAGAAGAAGGTATCCAGAGGCTTGGAGAAATTGGCATGTTAGAATGGATTTACCAGATTAGACCCCTAGAGCCAGAAATGGAGAGTCCAGAAGACCCGCCTTTTACCAGTATGAGGAATAAATTTGTGAAGGGAGCACCAGCATCCTTGAAGACTGCTGTGATTGCTATTTTATGTAAACTAGATTTGACAGTGGGAACTGCCCTAATTGAACTAAGACACTTAACTACAATGGGGCTGACCGGACCCCATGGTACTAGGGGCCAAGTGGCAGCAGTTAATCGACAAAGGCAAGGTGGGCATGGTTATCATAATGAAAAGCAGAGTTGGAACAGTAATCAGAATAGTCTGACT